AAAATTACTCTAATGATCATATCTTCTCTCTTCAATAGATAACCCCAGCTATAACAAATTATGTAACTGACAAATTAGGGAAAAAGTTTGTAGAGCCTCCACCATTTGATTTGACAAAGAGTTACTTGGATTCAAATTGCACCATTCCGTTAATTTTTGTGCTATCTCCAGGAGCAGATCCTATGGCCAGTAAGTGAATATACTGTAAACTTTTAAGAAATTGTAAATAAAACATCTTGCTCAATACCCATCTCTTATATGGTTATAAATCAGTTAGTAAGTCTAGTATTTATAGGAAAAGGTAACTAGAATTTTCTATGATAAAACACCTATACGTATGGCATATTTTATAATTTTACAGTAAGTAGTGTTACCATATTTTTGTGCCCTTCATAGGTCTGCTGAAATTTGCAAATGATAAATCTATGTCTGGAAATAAGTTTCAAGCTATTTCACTGGGGCAGGGACAAGGACCAGTTGCAACAAAAATGATAAAAGCCGCAATAGAAGAAGGAACTTGGGTTTGCCTACAGAATTGTCACCTTGCAGTGTCTTGGATGCCCATGTTGGAAAAAATATGTGAAGATTTTAATTCTGAAACCTGTAACTCATCCTTTAGGCTTTGGCTCACAAGCTATCCATCTCCAAAAGTATGCTTGTTTCCAATAGAGTTTAGTACGTTTATTTAGCTATCTGTTACACTGTATATCTTAATCAAGTTTTAGATGCTTAACTTTAAGAGGTTTTAAAAATATTTCTGTAGTTCTCCATTATACCTATTTTTTTTAATCCACTAGTGTGTGGATTTTTAGAGTCTGAGCTTGTTACTTTGTGTAACACTTTCTATTTATTTTGTCTTAGTTCCCAGTAACAATTCTACAGAATGGAGTAAAAATGACTAATGAACCTCCCACGGGTCTTCGGCTAAATCTCCTTCAGTCATATCTCACTGATCCAATTTCTGATCCTGAGTTTTTCAAGGGATGCCAGGGAAAGGAACTGGTAATATTCATCTTCTAGAACTTTTAAAATGTATTTTTATAGTGATAAAATATGGAAATGTAAAATTTTTATTTAATAATTTTTTTATACTTTAAGCATACCCTACAAGACAGAAATTATACTTATCTTGTTCATCATTTTATTCCCAATGGTTTCTGTTCTGCTTCTCGCATAGTAGACATTAAAATAACTATTTGTTGAATGAATATATCTTACTTTGTAAACTAAAGCCCAGCAGTATTTTTTATCAAGACCCCAAAGTAGAAATCTATTTTCACATCATTTATTTATTCTTTCAGCAAATATGTGTGCTGGGCACTCTCCTAGATACTAGATATAAAGGCAATGAGAACAAAATAGAGACACAGAGAAATCTGCTTTCATGGAACTTAAATTCTGGGGTAATAATGTTTTAGCATATTAATAATGCTTTTTGGTATATCCATCTAAAACAGTTTTATACAGGGTATTGAGGAATTTAGGGGTCCCAATAAATAGCACTCATTTCCCTGCCTGAATTCTTACTAATTGAGAAAAAAATCTAAATATATGGGAACCAAATTTTAACCTTAATTATTGATGTGGGCTGGGTTGGAAGATGTAACTTATGTCTATAAACAAAGGGGTTTCATATTACTGAACCCCAGAATTAATAAGATTTATCCATCCAGAGGAATAAAGGAAAACTCAGTTCCCTGCAGGAAGCTCACTTCTAAGAGAGAAAAGGGAGAACCTTTGCCAAGCATATCTGGTTCATTTTCCCCAGATTTATCAGTCAGATAGGCCCCTCCCCTCTCTTGCAGTGAGTGAGTTACAAGGATGGAGAAAAGTCAGGAGTGTCATATTAATTGAAGCCTCCCCACATGGGCGGAAATGGTACTGGGGAAAAATCATCCCCCTGCCATCATCCCAACATACACTACTTACCGTATTTGCCTATTTGAGCTTGAAAAAGAATGATATTGAAGGTAAAATAAATGACTGAATTCTTTGAAAGTCAGCTAGTTTGCCTCTGCTTAATGATACTTCTGCGTTCCCCTAGTTCTGTGCAATAATTTTGTTTGTAACTCTGGGAGAAAGGGAATATTTTGTGGTTTGGGCTAGAAAGACAGCTTAGTAGAATGGAGTCGGTAGTATGGTCTGTGATCCCCATCCAGAGTTTGAGCCCCTGCAATTAGAGGAGAAGGCCAGAAACAGAGAAGGGAAGCTTTGAAAGATTCTAAGCACAAGCAGAACTAATTTGGGGTCAGATGACCAAGTAAAAATGATGCTGAGTTGGAGAAGACACACTCTGGCTCCTTCTGTATTACAACATTGAGCAAGCAATGCTGGCACCCTACGTATTGGGATTTGTGGGACATCTGAAGTTAGCACCCTTGCCACGTATCATCATGTTTATGATGAACAGTGGCAATGAGTAAGGCTTCATCAAGCAACTTCTTTGCTAGTACAAACAAATGGAAGCCGGCGTAAGAGAAGAAAAAGAGTGTAAATGGCCTATGACGTGGGGTCTCAATGTGCATCAGATTCTCCTGGAGGGCTTGTTCAAACACCTCTTGCTGGGCCTCACCCCCAGAGTTTCTAATTCAGAGGTCTGGGTTGGGGCTTTAGAATTTACAGTTCAAACAAATTCCCAGGTGATATTGATGCAGCTGGTCCTGGAATCACACTATGAAAATCATTGCCTTAGTAGTAGTAGAGTTTCTGCAGATGACTGGTTTGTAGATACATAAGAAACTCCACTGCAGGCTCCCAGAAATAGCTGGGATGCCCTTTGATAAAGCTAATTTTGACATTAAGTTGGCAATAATTTCAAGTGTCATCGTTTGCTATTAAAAGTAAATAGATCTTTATAGTCACAGGTTGTTGATATCTTGGGCATTTGAATTATCTAGCAATGATAAGATATTAGTTATCTGTTGGTTTGCATATTTGTCTCCTGTACTCAATTGTATTCTCCTTAAGGGCAGGGATATATTTCTGTATCTCCATTCATGCATTCATTCATTCAATAAATATTTATCGAACACCTACTAGGTGCAACGCAGTCTTGTAGGACCTGGTAATATGGCAATGAACATATAGACATATAAAAACATATAAAAACATATAAAAACCCCTGTCTTCATGGAGCTTACATTTTAGCTGGAGGAAACCTATGGAAGGCAAGCTCAATCATAATCCCCATAAACCTGAGGGACTTATAAAGCTAAAAATGTCAGTGCCCCACTCCTGGGATTTTGATTCAATAAATTTGAAGTGGGGGCTCAAGAACTGGTATAAATACAGCACATGATACACCATGACCAAGTGGGATTTACCCCTGGGATGCAAAGATGATTCAACTTATAAAAATCAATTAATGTGATACACATTAACAGAAGGAAGGATAAAAATTACATGATTATCTCAATAGATGCAGAAAAAGCCTATGACAAAATTCAAAACATACATTCATAATAAAAACTGTCAACAAACTAGGAATAGAGCAAAATTATATCAACATAATGAAAGCCAATGTGAAAAGCCCACAGCTAATATACTAAACAGTGAAAAACTGAAAGCTTGTCCTCTGTGATCATGAACAAGGCAAGGATGGCCACTCCTTTCCCTTCTATTCAGCATAGATGGGAAGTCTTAGCTGGAACAATTAGGCAAGAAAAAGAAGCAAAAGGCATCCAAATCAGAACAGAAGTAAAATCCCTGCAGATATAAATTAAGTAATTGTTCTCATTACCAAAAGGTTCTTCCCCTATTATATATTTCATCACAGCATTCATCTAGATATTTAAAATATGCTTTGATTTATTTACAACATTTCAAGAATATATCTATTCAATAAACCATAGTGTGCTTGTATTTTAATATTGAAAAAATAGTTTCTACTACTGCATCACATAAAAATAGCTGGCTAGATTTTCACTGGATTTGAAGCTATGTTTGAAATGGTCTAACTTAAAATACATGCCATGTATCATACTTGAAATTTACTTGAGAGGACTTTTAAAAATGGGTGACCATTCTCTACAGCATTGACACAGTTTAGTGAGAGGCCAATGTGACATACATATCACACACACAAATATGCCACACACAGATCAAATAAACAGTAGTTTCAAAAATTATTTAACTGCTGGGTGTGATGACTCATGCGTGTAATCCTAGCACTTTGGGAGGCCGAGGCAGGAGGATCGCTTGAGCTCAGGAGTTCGAGACCAGCTGAGCAAGAGCAAGACCCTGTCTCTACAAAAAATGGGAAAATTTAGCTAGGTGTGGTGGCACACACATGTAGTCCCAGCTATTCAGGAGGTTGAGGCAGGATTGCTTGAGCCCAGGAACTTGAGGTTGCAGTGAGCTATTATGATGCCACTACACTCTAGCCTGGGTGACAGAGTGAGACTCTTGTCTCCAAAAAAAAACAATTTCCGGATAGAAAGTCACAAAGGATTATGTATTGTGATTTATTCATATCATAATGATTAATCATTCCTCTGCACTTGTAGTGTCACATACATGCCAGCAAGTCTGCAGAATAACATTCAAATATTGAAGTTGTAAATATCTATGAGTAATACCAAAGTATTATTAGCCAATAGTTTGGTAAAATGGTAACATTTTTGCATTTTAATAAAGTTTAATATTATTGTGGTTTATCTAGCTTTGGAGGTTTGAATTAAGTCGTAAGATGAATACTTTTTACAGTTAAGTATTGTTTTAGATAGCATCATTTTAAAATAGAAGTTTGTAGGGATAGATGCTCGGAATCTTGTAATGGAAAAAAACCATTCCCTTCATTTTACTGATAGAAATCTGATCAGAATTTTTTCTTGTATAATTTCCATAGGCATGGGAGAAGTTGCTGTTTGGAGTTTGCTTTTTTCATGCCCTTGTGCAAGAGAGAAAGAAATTTGGTCCTCTTGGTTGGAATATTCCGTATGGATTTAATGAATCAGACTTGCGCATCAGTATCCGACAACTACAGGTAAAATTAGAAAGAAATTAATGTTTGTGAAGGATCACTACTTACCAGGCCCTAAGCAAGTCCCTCTGCTTAGAATAACTGATCCAGTTCCCCCAATACCACTAATAGGTGGGTAGATAGTAATAACTATGGTGATTATGAAGCACTATCTCTGTCTAGATTCTTTCTGCTGCAAGCAATGAAAAACCTGATTCAAACTGGCTTAAACCATAATGAAACTTATTATCTCACATAAAAAGGAGATTCAGAGGAAGGACAAGCTCTGGGGTTGGTTGATTCAGCAACACAACAGTGTTGTCATCAAGGACTCTGGTTCTTTCTTTGTGCAGTGTCACCCTCAGTGTTACCTTTATATAGGTCCTAACTGTCTTCTACTCTCCTCCTCTACTTAGTCAATTCTGCAATTTAGCTCTATTAATCAACAGACAGAGCCTGTCTACTTTAGGCAGAAAAGTAATTTATTGAAAAGAAATTGGGTTGCTCAAAGAATCACAAAGATGTCTGGAGAGCCAAGCTCAGAGGAAGGGTATCTAGAGTCATGTGCAGAATCACACCATGTCTCACGAGAGCAGCATCTCTACCTTTGTTGAATATTAGGCACCACAGCTTGCATAGCTGCCACGTAGACTCTAGTCTACTGCAGGGCCTCTGATGCCAAGACCACATGCAAAGAGATTCTTTGCTGTTCCTGCTTCTATGTACCCTAATCCCCCCGGTTAGTCTCAGGTGGTTGCAGCTCCGTAGCCAAGCCGAGGTCACAGGTGTAGGCTTTAGCTGTAAGGGAGCTTGGGAAAGTGAGTGGCTGGCTTTTCATACAACCACAGAATATTAATATTTTTCTGCCTCTTTGCTGTTCTTAAGTACCTTTATGAAATGGGGCCTCATGAAAGGAAAAGGGAAGCATTGATAAAGCCCAATTATATGCTATTAGATTTCAGTCAGGTAGGTTTTTGTAAGGCTATAATTATTTAATCGTGTTTATACTAAACTTTAAAATAAAAAATAACAGATGATTTTTATAGAAATTATTGATATTTTATCAACTCTTTAAAAAATATCAGAGCACAAATCTTAACTGGAATAAATCTGTCAATTTGAAAATACTTTTAACAATTGTTGAAATTGGTGTATATGGAATTGTAAATATATGATGAAATGATTGATTTTAAACATTGGCTTGTGAGACCAATTTAGCTGGTATAGCCTAAGCTTGGAGAACATTTTGCTAAAACCATCATACTGCATATAATCACTCAACTGAGAATTTTCCCACCTTGTGGCTGGGCCCCAGCCTGCAACTTCCAGTGTTATCAACCTTTCTAGCCACAACATGGGAAACTGCAAGCATTGGCTGGATCCATCTTTCATATCTTTAGGGACTGGAAACATGAGAGGGGATTAATCTTTAAACCATCTTCACCTGGCCATACCAGTAGGACACTTCTCCGTGAAAAGGCAAATAAGAAAACTGATGGCTAAGTGGATAGACAACCAGGGAATGAGTTGTTGGTCTCCACTTCTTGCATATTTAACATTAAATTCTCTTGGAGTCTCTTCCTTCAGTTTTGGGGAGGGAAAAAACCCAGTTGAACATATCCTTCTCCTCCCTCAAAGAGAGGAAGGGGAGAAACTTTCCTCTTTTCACAAATAACTCATTCCCAAAAAAGATGACCTTCCCTCTTTCTCAGCCCCCATCTCATATCTCTTGACATTTTTCTTCCTTCTGAAAACCTGGGAATCTCAGACAAAGAATTAGGCCTTCTTTTAACTTGGTTCTGGAGAATTTAGAAATATTTTTTCTTGGTTGTGTACCATTTCTTTTATTTTTTTTCTTGGCCCCTCTCATTTGCTGAAATATGCACCATTTCTGCTATAATTCCCTCCCTATTAGGTAACCTTCATGGACAGGAAAAGCTCTCAACCTGTAACTTATACCATCCCAGTACACATACTACGAAAAATTCCCGTATATTAGAAAATGTATGGGATCTGGAACTGGAAGAAATAAATTCAGGCCTTCATATTGCTTCACATTTTCCAGACTCCATTTCCTACTCTACAGAGTTATTGGGAGATGAATAAGACAATATAAATGCTATGCAAATAGTAGTTTTTATTACTATTATTACAATAATAATAAGGAAATTAAAAATTATGTATTGTCTACCAGTAGAACTGTGTCATAGTGTGAATGAGGCTCTGGCACTGAAATTTGAAATTGCTTTGTTTTTCTCACAT